TTCCAAGGTTGCTGAGGTAAGACTCTGGCATTCCCAATAATAACCAGACCAGATCCAGCCAACCAAAGACAAGATGAGTGAATTCCAGCACTGACCTTTCATGAAGTTTTTCCTTATTATAGTCTTATTATAACTGAAAAAATCACACCCAGGGGTGGTGATTTAACATGCTAATGAGACCTATGACACATGAAGAAATATGTTATCAAACTGTGCAGGTGCTAAAAGTTTCCTGCCTCCATATGCCCACACATAGCTCGTTTTCTCACTGCAGCTTCCTTAAAATGACAAGAGCCAAGCCCTTTGGGGAGCTGGCACTGGGATCTATGTTCTGTACACTTCTCCCTTGCATTGCATGAGCTGGAAGCCTATTAAAACCTTGCCTAAGAAAAATTTCTGTTTGGCCTGGTGTTCATTCCTGTTTGCTTGAGAGCCTAGAACTCAGAGTCTGAGCTGCAGTAAAAACATCACTAACCATCAGGGAGATGCAAATAAAACCACAATGACATATTACCTCACATCTGTGCGAATGGCTATAATAAAAAAGACAAAAGGTCACAATTGCTAACAAGAATCTGGAGTAAAAGGAATCTTGGTACACTGTTGGTAGCAATGTAATTCAGTACAGCCATTATGGAAAACGGTATGAAAGTTCTTCAAAAAATTAAAAATGGAACTACCATTAGAAGTAGGATCCAGCAATCCTACTTCTGGGTATACAATCAAATGAACTGAAATAAGAATCTCTAAGATACATCTGAACTCCCGGGTGCATTGTAGCATTATTCAAATAGCCAAAATATAGAATTAATGAAAGTATACATCAATAAATGAATGAATAAAGAAAATATGGCATATATACACAAGGGAATAGTATTCAGCCACTAAAAAACAGTAAAAAACTGCCATTTGCAACAACAGGGATGAACCTGGGGGACATTATATTAAGTGAAATAAGACAAATACTGCATGATCTCACTTATGTGTGGAATGCAAAAAGGTCAAACTCATAGAAACAGAGTAGAATGTTGGTTATCAATAGTTGGAAGTGGGGAGCTTTGGGAGATGTTGGTCAATAGACACAAAATTTCAGTTATTGGCAGTCAATTAAGTAAATCATAGGATATTTAAGCAATTTGTAAGACAAGTGAAATAAAACAAGTTTTTTTTTTCCAATTTGTTCATTTTTTAACACTTTTTATTGCTTTAACCCTCAGGCAGACACAAGATTTCAGGAGGAGTTTAGAACCATGCTCTTCTAGGAATGCGAATATTTTTGAGCATGGAATTTCATAGCTTTTTGTATCTGTGCCTTACTAAAAATAATCATTCTCATTTCTGATATACATAATTTTCTCACAGTTACTTTTAAAATACACACTATATTCATGAAAGAGTAATCACCAATACCCATTTTACAACACAACAAATACAAAAAAGGAATTTGAAGAAATAAGTAAGTAAATGAAAGAGAAGTTGACACTCGCAGAAGGTACTTTGTAAAACCTTTATTACTGCACAATATGTTCACAATAAGGAATGACTTTAACAAGCTTCAATAATTGTCTCAACAGTCAAATATATTCAACATTATCTGGGCTGTGTAGCTCCATACAAAGTTGCCAAAGGAGAGTTAATAATTTTTATTTGAACCATACAGCATTTGCACACTTAAACAATTAAGAACCTTTCATCTCCTTCCAGGTATTAAGCAACAAGGTTAAATTGTTTGTTGTCTTCCTTGCTCTAGTATTTTTTCTCTACCATGTATTAGTTTTGAACATACTTTGCATCTCACTTATCTCCACCAAGAATGTAAGCTCCATGAGGACGGATATTTTTCTTAATCACTGCCATTTTCTTAATGCCTAGAATACTGACTATATGTTAAAGGAAAACTGTTGTTTTCCAAGTACCTTATTTTGTTCACCATCTTTCACTATTATGTCTAGTTTTGAAATTAGGCCCTAAGTTGAGTGATACATTCACAATTGAATTCCTCATTCCCTCTAGTTCTGCAAGAGTTTCTATCAATCCCTTATCATTTTGTCATTGCCTTTAAATTAAGAGCAATTGGTCAAGGGACCAATAAGTTTAAAATCAGTCTCTCTTTTCACCGTATAGGTCAGTAGAACAGGCTACATAATTGGTGAGGTCTCATGCAAAATGAAAAGTGAAACCCTCTTGTTCAAAAAGTATTAAGGATCTCAAGATGACAGCAGAGCATTAAACTGAGCATGGGCCCGATGTGATTGTACAGGTCACACCCACCATCCTGGCCCTTTAGGCAGGGATTCATTAGAGCTAAATTTTTGAAAACCTACAAAAGAAACACGAGGTTTAATAATCAAGATTCTACTTTTATGTTTTCTCATGTCCACTTCCCATGATGAGTCTGTGCTGCAAAGGCTTGAAGACTCTAAAAATGAACATGATTTAAATCATAAATTACATCAACTACATAGCTGCTTTTCTGGTTCCAAGTTGACCTTTTGGTGTATGAATTTCCATCTAGTTACAATTATTTATTGGTACATTAACCGATATAATTATTTAATAATTCAAGACCAAAATTCTCACTGGTGTGATCTTTTTTAGGACATTTATTTATCATATAAATAAGCACTATTTAAAGGGAAAAATCAGTTAAAGATGCTCATTCATTTAACAAAAGTTTATTAAAATTTATATATGCAAATTATGGTGCTTGTTTTTTTAAGGTATTATAAGACAAGAAAGAAGGCTAATTTACCAGAAATCAACTTGCCTGAAGCTAATTAGTCCAATGATCAGTTTGCTGAATGACTAATTAGCTAAATTTGCCAAATTAGATGACTGTAGTTTAATAGAAGTATTTACCAGCTTTCATAAGATTATTTGAGTGACTAATGGTGATACATAGAGAAAAAAATTATATATACATATAATAGTGGATACATATGTATGTATATAATATGTATACCTAATACATACTTTATATATATTTAACTTATTCTAAGAAGACTAAGTGTGAAAGAAAGTGAAGATATCTCAAAGAAACTAGTATAAAGAGCCATGCAATTAGTATGTGTTATGTAGAAAAATAAAATAGGACACCATATAAGCAACCATATAATATTTTCAATGTTGCATGTCATTTGCTGGTTAATATACTATCTAAAAATCTGGTAAAAAATATTTTAAAAGTTTGGCAAACAGGTCAACATAAAAAATTCTAAGCACTTTATTGATATACCCAACACTCAGAAAAGTTTTCCTCTTTGCTATAAATGTTCTATTTACAAAAAATTTTAAACTAATAAAAAAGTGCAAAGGATCATACCTTAAATTCAAACATTGATTAAAATTTGCCAGTTTTTTTTCAGCAAAATCATTTCGAAGTAAATTCCAGACATCATGATACTCCAACCCCAAATACCTCAGCATGCGATTCAATCACTTAAAAATACTCTTTGACTTAAGTATGATACCACTATTATACCTAATGAAATGAACGCTTCCATAATATCTTTCAGTACTTGGTACTTAATCCATATTCACTTTCCCTAATTTGTTCTGCAAATATCTTTTATAGCTTTTACTTTTTTTTATTTTTACAAACCAGGATCCAATAAAAGCTTATGCATTGTTATTTGGGCAATAATCATTTAAGTATCTTGTAAAAACACATAATATTTTCAAATGTAGAAACTGCAAATTACGTGAGTGGAGCTTCTCACCTTTTTTTTTTTTGATACGGAGCCTCACTCTGTTACCCAGGCTGGAGTGCAGTGGTGCAATCTCTGCTCACTGCAACCTCTGCCTCTCGGATTCAAACAATTCTCCTGCCTCAGCCTCCCGAGTAGTTGGGATTACAAGGCATATGCCACCCCACCTGGCTAATTTTTGTACTTTTGGTAGAGACGGGATTTCACCATGTTGGCCAGGATGATCTTGAACTCCTGACTTCAAGTGATCCACCCACCCCCTCCCAAGGTGGTGGAATTACAGGTGTGAGCCACCACCCCCAGCCACTTCTCACCTCTATATTAGGAAGAGGTGGACAATCAAGAGAACCTGAGGTTAGGATATTAAGAACAGTTGGAGGATTTGGAATTAGCCCGTGGGAGGGGGGGTGCATTCAGTGGGGAATAATAAACTGCATTCCCAAGAAAGTGAGAGACACCTGGGTTTCATTTCTGCTCTCTGGCATCCCAGAAATAGGTGAGCAGTCCTGGGCCTCCCTCCATGCCAACAGTAAGCCCTCGCGCTAAGTCTACTGAACTGGGGGGCAGTGGAGGGGCTAAGAGAACTGGCTTTGGAGTCTCTCTGCTTGAGTCCTCACTCTGTACTTAGGTGTAGGTTCTTGGACCAGTCACCTAACATTTCTGTGCCTCAGTCTACTGCTTGGAAAAACGGGCATGATAATAATAGTAACCGTTCTATTGGAGCTACTGTCTAGATAGCACTAGATGCCGTGTGTAGGACATGCTGAGAGATCAATAAATATTACTGTGATTGTCAAGTAAAGAGATAGCACAATCTCATATGAATATGAAGGGGTGAAAACGCGTAGGGTTTGTGTATTAGGTGGATTTATAAGCCCACCCGGGGAGGATTAATGACCAAGACAGATAGGCAAATGATAGTATGTAGGGAAAGAGAGAAAACAGAAAAGAAAAAAAAGAGAAAGGAAGAGGTCTAGGGAGACCTCAACGACCATCGATTCCTTTCACCAAAAGGAATAGGGCCCTTATACCTATGGGGACAGCCTTGGGAAGGCAGTACCCGGGTTTGAGTGTGGTGGTTTGATTATCACTGACTGGCCCAGCCCCGGCTTGGTTCTCCGTTGAAGGTTCGTGTGTGTGTGTGTGTGTGTGTGTGTGTGTGTGTGCGTGCGTGCGTGTGTGTGTGTGCGTGTGTGTGTGCGCGCGCGTGTGCGCACAAAGCCCAGAGGCGCAGCTGGAGAGCGGGGGCGGAGAGGGCCCCGGGCGGCCCAGTTCCCTTGCGCTCTGGGGGCGAGGCGCGAGCGCTAGCGAGTCGCACGCAGTTCCAGGAGCGGAGCTCTGGCACTGGCGCCAGCTGCGAGCGGAGGGCACCAACTCCGCGGAACTGGCTTTGCAATGGGACACCTGTGGCTCCTGGGGATTTGGGGCCTCTGGGGGCTGCTCATGTGTGCCGCGAATCCCCGCACAGGTAACCTTTTGGGCATGCTAGGGAGGCTAGCAGGAGAGGCCCGCGTAGACACTACCTCTGCTCCCGGGGTTCTGGGAGTGGCGGGACCACCTGGCATCTGGCTGAGGCTGTGAGTTACAGGACGAACCTGGGGACCCTGGGACCTGGATAGCAGGCCTAGCAAACAGAGACAGACGCAGAGAGAGAGAGAGAGAGAGAGAGAGAGAGAGAGAGAGAGAGAGAGAGAGAGAGAACACAGAGAAAGAGATTGTGAGAGATTGCCTTTAACTCGTCAGTGCTGCTACTTGAATGATGAAATTCAGTGCTCCCACCAGCACCCCCAAAGTGACACAAGTGACAGGACATTGAAATTTGGCGGAGGTGTGGGGACTGGGAAGACGCAACCTGATTCTCTTTTCCTCCACTCTTCCTGGGTCGCTTTCCCCACAGAAGAAAGAGCAACAACTCCCCTACTCCCTGTAGGATGGGATGGGCCCTCGTGGCAGGTGTCAGTCATTTCCAGGGGCAGCTGCCCGGTGTTTTCAAAGTAATACTCAGAAGAGGGCTTGGAAGAGACTGATAAGAAATTGGAGTTGTCTGTAGAGATAACAGGAGGATGAACCTGAGATAGGCGAGGAGCAGCACTGTCTGGAGATAGGATCCAGCTCCTCACTGGAGTTTCCTACTCTTGGCTACGGGCTGCCCTGAGATAATGAATGTGTGGCAGCAAATGCCTTGGAGCTCTTGGCAAAGGCAGACCCGAAAAACAGAGGCATTGGGCCTGGGGCCGTGGAACTGGTCTCCCTTATGTTGGACAGCTTTTTTTTTTTTTTTTTTTACTATAGGTGAAGTCCATTTGAAACCTTTTAAAGACAGAAATGAACTATCCAATCATAATTCCCTTAACCTTTTTGTATACATCCATTTCAAGAAATTGATTACTTCTGTGGCCTTTCTTTGAATCATCACTTAAATTTTTTCTACCTACTTTGAAAATTTCTTTTAGGACTCCAGTAATTACTAGATTACAGTGTAAGCAGAAAATATGCACCTCTATCCACTGTGTAGTTTTGAGTTGTTTTAAAGAATTATTTGCAGTACTCCAAAGGAGTAGCTTACACACCCCTGCTTGCCCAGACAGTTCCTTCTATCTAGAACTATCTTTATCTTTCTATTGACTGGTCCAGTCTAACTAATTCATATTTGCCCTAAAAAATGTGGAAGGGGCATCCTTCTTTATAGAAGCCAGTGCGACACAAGCAGTGTGGGTGACATGCTCCTCGAGTCACTCATGGCCTCTATGCACTCCTCTGTCTCTTGGTACTGTCTAAGCTAAGCTTTTGGAAAGTCAGGACTGTTACACATTTCTGTGTCTCCAGGAAGCCAACACAGTTTGTTGAATGAATTAGTGACCTTTATATAAAGAACTTGCTGTCATCAGGAGGCTAGAAAGGTCCCAGAAATAATCTTTCCTGAAGCCATACTCCCTTACAGAAAACAATTTCTTCTCAAAACCAACATTTCTCTGTGTACTTGGTCTAGTCTTTTGACCTACCTAGCACTGCATTTCTTGTGTGCTCTTATAATAACTTGTTTCTTCGTGATGTCTGCTGTTACGTGAGCTGCTAAGCATAGCTATAGATCTGCAGTTAGCAGGGCACTACATGAAATTAAGGTTTTAATAAATGTTTTATAATATGATAAGTAAGCGATGAAAATGATAACATGTTATTTTTGCTCTTGGTAGCCCCTAAGATAGTGCTTTGCACAAAGCTAGTGAGTATTAACCAAGAATGACTCTGTCAAGTCATTGGTAGAGCCAAAAATAAAACTTGGGTGAATTTTACTTTCAGTCCTGTAAACTTCACAATGTTTTCCTTGCAACCTTGTGGTATGTGTTAAATTTTGGTGATTGAAATTAAGAACCTGGTAATTTTACCTCTACTATATTTTAATACTTTCAGATGGCTCTGAAATAATCCCCAAAGTCACAGAAATAATACCTAAATATGGCAGCATAAATGGAGCAACAAGGCTGACTATCAGAGGAGAAGGTATGGTTGCTTTTTTGTTTGCCAAGATTGAAGTATTTTAAAGACTATTTCATATTTAGGGCTTTATGGTTAAAAACAAACAAACACCACTGGAGTTGTTTCTTCACTTGGCCAGAGTAGTAAAACTCTATCTTCTTTGATAGCTAGTGAAATTCCCAAGAGTCTTTATCAACTTGATCATCTGAATTCTTATTACACTTACTTGCTTAACATCAATATCTGGATTAATGACTGAACTACAAGGAATGCAGTTAACCCAACTCAGCAATTATTTGCTTTATTCTTCATGGATCTAATAACATTAATTTAATATTAAAACATTTTGTGAGTGTTGGATAGAATGTTGATAAGAGTATAATAGAGAACTAGTATGTTAATGAAAGAGGACAGGCAATAGAAAACTTTGGATTCCTTCTGCCATCCAGCCCCAGGCTTCATAAAGGCAGAGGTCACACATCGTTCCCCTTTTCTTTGCCTGGTCTTAGGATGAAACATAGAAGGCAATCAGTAAATATATTTAATGCACAGCTTTTCCTAGGATTAAATAGAAATATGTGTTTCTTTCAGCCATAAGACCTTTTATAATAGAAATGATATTAATATTCAGATACTTAGGAATTTTTGAAGAATAAGAAACATTTAAAAATATTAACAAAATCTATTGTTTTTTAAGAAATGAAAAGTTTTATAGTTAACAAACATTTAATTATTTTGTCATATAATGTAATATCTTAATGCTTCTATTTCTGCAAAATTCAATCTCTTGATGATGTGCTTAAAATGGTTTATACCTCTACATTATGAACAATATATTTTGGATTAAAGTGTTATTTTTTTAGAGTTAAGATCTGTGAACAATGTATTTGTTAAATATATTGTTTCTTATATATAGATCATTTTAAAGATACCTTTAACCATATATTTCTTGTATTGTGAATTGCTCTTAAGATGGTATGCGTGAAAGTTATTGGGTTTTAAAGAGAAAATTAAATGCCATGAGAGAAATGATCAAATTAAGAAAGAAGAAGAAGAAGAAAGAAAACACCCAGCCATTTTTTTCTGTTTTCAGACCTGAACATTTTCTGATCTAGGAACTATGGCTTGAATTTAAGCATATAGACCCAGATCATCCCTAGTTTGAAATAAGAAAAACAAAATATTCTCTTCTTATGGCATTTTGGAAAGATATCCTTTTAGATCTAGCTAAAATGTGATCTTTTCTCTTGTGTAGATGTTGTGTGGCAATTAGGCTGCGGACTCAAGTAAAAAGCCCAGAGTGTGATATAGTAAATATCTACGTTCCTCATCAGTCCCAGTTTCAGGATGTGTTTAGCATTGCAGATGCTTATACCTTCTGATTTGTCTTATAGACCCCTGTCTTAACTACACACTGCAGATGACTAAAAACTTGTCTTTCTCAGAGATTGAGTCTAAATACTGCCTTATGGAGGCAGAGAATAGAATAGTGGTCATCGGAAACTGGGAGAAGAGGAAGTGGAGGAGGGGTATTGGTCAAAGGTACAAAATTTCAGTTATGCAAAATGAATAAATACTAGAGACCTACTGTACAGCATGGAGCCTCTAGTTAGCAATACTGCATTGTATACCTAAATGTTTAGCATTGTATACCTAAATGTTTACAATGAGAAATCTTGTTACATATTCTTATCCAAAATTTTTTAAAAAATAAATAGTGCAGGAGGAAGCTTTTGGAGGCAGGTGGTCAGTTTGTGACTTTGCTTGTGGTTATAGTTTTATGGTTATATACGTATACCCAAACTCATAAAATTGTATAAATTAAATACATATAGCTTTTGTATGTCAATCATACCTCAATAAAGTGGTTTAAAATAAATTTAAAAATGCTATTTTAATATAGGCTTTTGGGTACCCCTAATATGTACAGAATGATATCTACAAAATGATAATGAATTTCCAAAACACGCCAGAGCTTCTATAGCTACATGGATGAACTTAAACAAAGTTTATTTGGTGGGACTATATTCATATAAATCACCAGTGTTGTCTCTGATAGATTCTCTACTTTAGAATTCTATGCAGTGCTAATTTATCAATCAAACAAGAGCAATTTCTAAATGGAATTGTAAATTCTAGATGATTACCTAACTATTGGTTTCATACTACTTTTTAAAATGTTTTATTTTTGTAAATGTCATTATAAAATAGTAAAATATTATAGAAACCCTTGACTTAGAAAGTGAGTTCTCTGAAATTCTATCCAATGGAAAGATCTACTGTTAACATTTTAGTGTATCCAAATGACTTTTGACTATATCCAAACATAGTATAGTATTGGCTTGCAAACATATGCTACAGCATTACTTTGTTTAAAAGGCTGTGGTTGGGCTGGGCACATTGCTCTGTGCCTGTAATTAAAGTGCTTTGGGAAGCTAAGGCAGGAGGATCACTTGAGGCCAGGAGTTTGAGACTAGCCTGGGCAACCAGCCTGGGCAGCATAGCAAGACCCTGGCTCTACAAATGAAACATTTAAAACGTTTGTCTAACATGATGGCCTGCATGTCTGTAGTCCTAGCCACTTGGGAGGCTAAGGTGAGAGGATTCCTTGAGGCCAGGAGTTCAAGACTGCAGTGAGCTATGATTGTACCACTGTACTACAGCCTGAGTGATAGAGTGAAACCCTGCTTTGAAAACAAAATCCTCATAAAACTATGCTTCAGGAGATATAGATACATGATTTTACTTTTATGATGCCCAAGCCAAAGTGTTTTGAACAATGGCATGGTTCTAGAAATTATTATAACTCCCTCTGAGATGACTCATTTGATTAGAAGCATTATAAGTTCTGGACTGTTTGTACTATATTGTCTTTGTTACTTTATAGTCATGACTTGTATTTCTTAATTGTCTTCTTTGATATTTATCATGTTTGTTTTTACTTAAAAAATCAGTAAGATAGTAGGAATGACACTTTACTTTTGACTCCTTTTCTAGCTATTTCCCTTAGAATTTCTGGAACACACATTTTTTGTTGAAATGAAGTGTTGAATTATATACTTTTAATAATATTACAGAAAGCATATTAACTTTGGTTCAGTCTGACTGGCTTTCAATTCCACCTTTGCCACTTCATATTATGTGACTAGGGCAAGTTGCTTCACTGAGCCTCAGCTTCCTCATGTGGCCAACAAACATGTGAAAAAATACTCATCATCACTGGTCATTAGAGAAATACAAATCAAAACAACATTGAGATACCATCTCATGCCAGTTAGAATGGTGATCATTGAAAAATCTGGAGACAACAGATGCTGTAGAGGATGTGAAGAAATAAGAATGCTTTTACACTGTTGGTGGGAGTGCAAATTAGTTCAACCATTGTGGAAGACAGTGTGACGATTCCTCAAGGATCTAGAAATAGAAATTCCATTTGACCCAGCAATCCCATTACTGGGTATATACTCAAAAGATTATAAATCATTCTATTATAAAGACACATGCACATGTATGTTCACTGTGGCACTGTTTACAATAGCAAAGACCTGGAACCAACCCAAATGCCCATCAAAGATAGACTGGACAAAAAAAATGTGGCACATATAAACCATGGAATACTATGCAGCCCTAAACAAGGATGAGTTCATGTCCTTTGCAGGGACATGGATGAATCTGGAAACCATCATTCACACCAAACTGACACAAGAGCAGAAAACCAAACACCACATGTTCTCACTCATAGGCGGGTGTTGAACAATGAGAACACATGGACACAGAGAGAAGAACATTACACACTGGGGTTTGTTGGGGGGTGGAGGGCTAGGGGAGGGATAGCAGGGTGTGGGGAGATTGGGGAGGGATAACATTAGGAGAAATACCTGATGTAGGTGATTGGGGGGGGTGGAGGCAGCAAACCACCATAGCATGTGTATACCTAATGTAACAATCCTGCAATATCGGCACATGTACCCCAGAACTTAAAGTATAATTTAAAAAATGGACTATAAATTCCTACTTCTTAGGACTGTTGTGAATATTGAAAAGAATGATACATCTAAGGTATAGTAGAAACTCTATACATTGGAGCTATTTTTGTTTGTATTATTCTTTGCATTTATGTTATAGGTCTGGTTTAATTCCTTAGAAGTTGGCTTCCATCCATCACACTATATATTTCTTTCCCATTGTTTGAATGTTATAACTTTTAAGCAGGTTAATACACTCTTAACACTCCTTTTTTAACTAGAGAAAACAAAACAGCCTGCATTCTTCATGACAAGTGCTAGTTTTAATAATACTGACATTTTCCATGAGAGCAGCCAGGCATTCCTTTTTGATTGCTCTTATCAGGAGACCCAGTTTTGTGTGCCTGGCAATTCCTGTCTCCAGTTTTTCTGCAAAAGAAAAAAAAATACATCAACATGTCAGGAATTTCCATCTAAAGCGTCAACCTTTTCCATTTCCCAGGTACACTCAGTCTTTCCTGTAATCTCTGTGCTTTGGAGTACTTCCAGAGGTGGTGTTTTTATCCTCAATCATTTGTTTAGAATTATATATATATATTTTTTTGAGACAGAGTTTTGTTCTTGTTGCCTAGGCTGGAGTGCAGTGGCGTGATCTCAGTTCACTGCAACCTTTGTCTTATGGATTCAAGCAATTCTCCTGCCTCAGCTTCCCGAGTAGCTGGGATTACAGGCACCTGCCACCACACCCAGCTAATTTCTTGTGTCGTAGAGACGGGGTTTCACCATGTTGGCCAGGTTGGTCTTGAACTCCTGACTTCAGGTGATACGCCTGCCTCGGCCTCCCAAAGTGCTGGGATTACAGACATGAGCAGTAGTGTCTGGCCTAGAATTATACTTTTAAGTTAAAATTTTTTAAAACAAGGATTTTTTGTATTTTTAATGCTTTAGAATTAGTTTAAAAGTCAGAAATAATTATATATTTGTTTTTTGAGCAATATTAATAATATTAATGAATTATTGTTGATTTGGTTCATTATTTTCCCATAGATTTTGCTCCTA